TTCCGAGGCGCAACGAGAAGGTAATTGCGTTGTGGTCCGAGGTTGTCAGGTCTCTTTGCACTCGCCAGTCTTCGATTTTGCCCAGCAGTGGTAAGCTGCAGGCCGTCACGTCGACTATGCTAGTGCACCACCTGTCGCCTCTGTATGTCTCGAACGTAGGTGTCTGCCCTGTGTTTAAGATCTGGAGATCCCGCTCGTTGAGGAAGCAATTGTACGCTGCCCCACGGTGGTTTTCAGAAGCACTACCCCACCATTGACTCCATGCGTTTATGTCTCCTCCCACCAGGATGTTTTGTGTGTGTAATTTTTTAATGGTGTTGTGTGTTTTGAGTAGGTACGGTTCGATTTCCTGGTCACCCTCGAAATAGACCGATATCACTCCGAGACTGAGCTGGCCCACCTTTAGCAGGACAGCAGCGACGTTCTCGGTCACAAGCTGAGGGTCGTGAATGACCTGCATGTTGCTCCCGAAAACGACGATTGCCGCCTTAACTGGTTTTTGGCGGTTGAGGCTGCACTGGATGACTTGTGTGCCGGGGCATTGTTTCATTACTACTGTTCTTCCTACATAGGGCTCCTGAACAAGAGCTATTGAAACCCCCTTTGCTTGCGCCGCCAGGTGGAGTTCTTCTGTTGCTAGCTTGGAGCGTTGGAGATTCACTTGGATAATCTGCAGCCTCGCCGGTCTTGTTGAGTGTTGGAGGGTGACTGTTTGACCTACTGGTGTGTTGTGTTTGTCGCCCTTAGCAGTAGGAAACACGCGATCTGGCTATGCCATCCCATTTCTGGCGTTCCTGGCAGTCCCCGCTAAATGCGGTGTGTGCCAGATCGAAACCTGTTCTTTTGGCTGCTTTGCAGTTCACACAGGTGGGTTGCCTACCAGCCGCCCGATCGGGGCAGTCCCTTCCATTGTGCTCTCCGCTGCAATAGCTGCAGGCTTCTTTAGCTGCCCTGCATATGGACTTGTTGTGTCCATATCCGAGGCATTTCGTGCACTGTACGAGGGGGGACTGGTCCTCTATCGGGCACCGCTTAATGCCGATGTGCACTTTCTGCACCTATGTGAGGCATTGCCAGAGCTTCGGAGAAAGCTCCAAGACTGGGTGGCACTCGTGTGGGTTTCTCGCGCGCTTCCTATACCGCATTTTTATGGTCTGCTCGTCCAAAGCGACGTTCTGCAGAAGGTGTTTATTCTGCACTTTTAGGAGATCTACAATCTCCCCGTCACTGTAGCTCGACAGTACGCCTTTGATGCAGACCATTGGGTTCAATGCTTTCGGCTCCTGGACCTTGAGCCCGCTGTTGGTTTTAAAGTGGTCATTAACCAAATTGAGGTCCGTCTTGCTAGCGCATCTTTTCGGATTGCTCAGCGTCATCATCACTATCTAACATATTAGCAATAGAGTCCTGTAAACTCTGGGAATGTTCTTTTCTAACAATAATTTGTTTGACTCCAGTACTTGTAGTTGCTGTGAGACTTTGTTCAGTTTCTAAATCTGCACGTAGTTTCTCTTTTATTTGTTTTATGAGAATATCGCTAAAGAATTTACTTTTGTACCGTGGGTCTAAAAATGTGGCTACTTGAAACAAAATATTTTTATCAACTTCTGAAAATCGATAATCTAATTCATTTTTTAAAGCAGACACAAAATCCAGAACAGATGGTACACTGATATTGAGACTTTCCTGGATTTCATCATAAATTTTATTCAATGCTCGTACTAGAGGAATAACGTCGGATATACAAGAGTTCTGTGAGCTCAATGTTTTTGTAATATCGTCTAGAGGCTTCAGCACTTTTACTAAGTCTTGAATCAAAGTCCAGTCATCAACATTAAATTGATCTATTTTGTTATTCGAAGCATAAAGCGACAGGGAATCTTTGATGCAATCAAGTCTTTCCAACATATGATAGCTGGAATTCCAGCGTGTCGGTGAGTCTTGCAAAACTTTTAAAACTTTTTGATTGAGTCGAACCTGTATTTTTTCCAGTTCTTGTTTTGCCATTGTGGAATGGTTGAAATGTCCTGCAATTTTCCTACATTTTGCGAGTAACACGGAGATTGTATCAACCTTTTTGATAGCCTCTTTAACCACCAAATGTAATTGATGTGCTGTACAGTCGATATTATGTATTTCAGACAAAGAACAGGCGCGCTTCATATTGGATCCCCCATCTCGTACCATACAGTGCACATTTTGTTTCTGAATTCCCCATTCATTTAACATACTTTGAAATATTTCTGAAATATAATCACCAGTGTGACGTTCTTCAAGAACATTCGCTTTCAAAACGATATTTTTTCGTTGAAAGTCTTCAGTAATACCATGACATGTTAAAGATAACAATGACACTCCTGATGACGAATCTGACCAGATATCTGATGTGAAGGAGACTTTATCAAAATCTTGTAACATGTTTTTTATTTTTGATGACACTTTATCGTAAAGCTCGCTGCAAACAAGTTCCGTAAAATATTTTCTGCCTTTGAGAACATAGTTTGGAACAATATGATCCATCAATCGTCGAAACCCTAATTGTTCTACATGTTGAAAAGGCAAATCTGATAAAGCCAACATTTCAGCAATCAAATAGTCAATTTTGATTGACTTGGGATTTGTATTATCCCACATTCTAGTTTTTTCCATATATTCATCAAAAAAAGTTTGTTTAAATTCTCTTTTTACCGTTTGCAAAGATGTTCCCGGCCGTGGTAGTTCATCGGTACGCTTCTTAGCGGCGTCTTCTTTCAAAAATAAATCATATTCTTCGGGATGTTTTCTTTGTAAATGATTTTTTAAAGAAGTTGTGCCTTTACCCTTCCGCGAATATTTTCCATCACAAATTTTACACTTCGCACATTCATCATTTACTATCAGAAAATATTTCCAAATTACACTAGAAAACTTCTTGGTAGACATTATTTTCAATTTTTATCACAATAATACACAAACGTTATGTACGCGGCACAGTGTCACACTAAACCATAACCAAAACAAAAGTATTACCCGCGCAATGCAAGTTAAAACGTGTCCTGTCTTGTCCTGCCTGACGTTGCGGCGAGCGAAGACGTCAACTATCGTTTCAAGGTCGCGGGCGCCGACACCAATCGAATAAAATCGAATAAGAAAATAAAGATCCGTATCCGTATCCGTATCCGCGGATCTTTACACTAAATATCCGTATTCAGATCCGTATCCGCGGATATACATTTTTGACGATCCGGCACATCACTAGTTAGGTTGTGGTGGTTTTGGGGGCTTCGGCGTGCTAGCGGCCTGGGCAAAGGTCTTGGGACCCTGCTGTTGTTGGGGCGGTCTGTCCGCTTTGCTCAGGTCTGCCACCCCCTTTTCAATGTTCTGGAGTGTCCTCTTGACCTCCACGGCTGCCAACTCCGCGTCCAGACTCGGCACTGCCTGCGTCTGCACGCTCGGCTTTTTGTCGCGCAGCACGCGGATGTCAGCTGAGACCATCTCCAGCCTTTCGGTAAGTGGATGGAGCTCTTTGGCGATGTTTATTGTTTGTTGTGGTGGCGGTGGTGGTGGGGGAGTCGTTGGTTTATTGCTAATTTCCCGAAGCAGGGCCTGCACTTTCCCCATCTCTTCCTCAAATTTTTCATGAGTCTGTAACCCCATGTCCGACACTTGGTTGCTGGGGGCTTCGTTTGGCCGTGTGAGGTCTGTCCTAATTTTATCCAAGGCCATGCGGAGCACGTCCAGCTGGTTGGAGACACTTGTTATGTTGGTCTCCATGCGTAACAAGCCTTCACCCATGGAATCCCATTTAGGACCCCCCGGTGTTCCTGCTGTATTCAGCCTTGTCTTCTCGTGCTCTTTGCTGATGTTGGTTTTTATTGCCTTGACCTCTTCTTTGACCTCCTTGATGCTCTTGAATGCTTCAAGAGTCTCGTGGCCCAGCCAATCTCTTATGCCCTTCCCCTCCTTTTTTGTGTCGGAGAGGTCCGAACGCATGAGGGAGAGCTCGGCTTTTAGCGCCATCATGTCCCTAGTGTGAGCTCTCTCGACACGCACAAGAGCTTGTGCGTGTCGAGAGAGCGCTCCCTCTCGAGATTGTATTTGTGGCGCGCTCTCGAGTCCGCCAGTGATAGGACAGTTTCATAAAGGCCCTGCAAGCACTCGTACGTGGTGGTCTTGCACTCTCTCTTCATGTTTCCGGCCACCTCCAATGCGTCTTTGCCCTTTTGGAGGAGGTCGTTGGCCTCTCTTGTCGCCAGATCCATCTTCACTCCAGTGCCCCTTCTGGGTGTTCTGTAGAGCATGGATTTACGCTCGGGGCGGTTGGTCTGTCCCGCCGACGAAGCCACGGAACTTTCCTCGTCCGAGATGATCGGGCGAGGGGGGGAGATTCCGCATTGTGCCCAGTCTATGCTCGTCTCCGAGATTCCGCTTCGATCCTCCGACTCGGGTATGATGATTGGAGTTTCGGGGATATTGATTACTGTGGGGTGCGTTGACAGTTGTGAGTCGGTCACGTCCGGCTCCGACAACGACCTCGACGCCAAAGGCCGCTCTGATGGGCGCGCCGCTTTTTCAGAAGTAACCGAACGAGTTGCGGTGTTTTTTAGAAGCTTCTCTCTTAGAGACCTGGTGGATCTCCCGGTGGCCTCCGTGGTCGGTTTGCAGGAAGTGGCGATGGATGGTTTGGAGGACATTTTTGTGATATGAGAGTAACGAGTAGCGATGGTCTTAAAGCTAAACTTACAACAAGTGTTACAAAATATGTGTATAAAGAGATTTTCTTTTTTTTTTTCAAATATGTATTATGGACTCACGGCTGCGTCGGCTGGTGGTCTGCTTGTGCTGTCCAGTGAGGAGCCCGATACTGTCAGAGCTCGATTGTCTGAGCCCTGCGTGCGCGCTGGTGGTAATTTCCAGTGAATTTGTAATAATGACACCAGGAACAGACTAGTGCAAGAATGCTTTTTACCATTACTGAATGATAATGCAGTATAGATTTAATAAACCATTGTTCATTTAAAATTATTTGTAATTTTAATTTGTACTCTTCCTCCTTCCATTTGCGCTCTTTTTCTTTAAATTCTGCCTCCTTTCTGCGTTCATTGTCTTCAAACTCCCATACCTTCTTTTTATGTACAATTTCCTCCTCTTAAACTTGTTTTTGAAGCTGAACTAGTTCTAATTTTGCTTGAGTCAGTCCTTTTTGATACATTTGCTGTAACAAAAACAAAGTATTGAAATTGAAACAGGTTGAAATGGTGACATAATGTTAACACAGTACCTTTACTATGTACCTAGTATCTACTAAAGCTATGGTAGGAGTAGTTTTTGTGTCTACTGTACATGTGTATAAACTTAATGATATTCTATAATGTCTTACCAATCAGTGTAAGATGTTTCTTTGATTTTAAATTCTTTCTATTTGTGACATCCCATGTTTTTTTAAATTTAGTAATATATTATAACACTCTTCCTCTTAGGAGTGTCACTGTCAAGCAAAGCGCTGTCTGCAACAAAAATAATATACATAACATCACGCCTTTTATCCTCGAAGGGGTAGGCAGAGGTGCACATTATACCACTGTACAATGTAACACCCACTTTTCACTATTTATGTTATGAGTCCCATGTAAAGGGGGTGAGCCTATTGCCATATACCGGGCACAGTTCCAGACTTCGTGCTACTACTGAGAATTTTTTAAAAACCCAGTAATACTTTGCCCGACTCGGGAGTCGAACCCGAGACCCCTTACCCGGCAGTCGCAGTTGCGACCACTCGGCCAACGAGGCAGTCAAAAATAATAAATTTTAGAAAACTTAGATACTACACATGTAGACATAATCGAAACAAGTAGTGTTTCATAATGTTATGTTCTCAGCAATATCTAATAAGCAATATGACAGGACCAGTATAGTCTTGCTATAGTGGTCGAGTATGTAATGTAATAATCTAATTACTGATATCAAGTTAACAAAAGTAAAATATTAAAAACCTTATCAATACTAATTTTTTTTCTATTTCAACCATGTCTACACTGCTAGTGGCTGGTAATGGTTCACACTCATTAGCTACTAGCACCACAACTTATATATAAAAAGGACACCATTAGGTAAGTAAAAGTAATCATGATATAACTTTGATTAATAATTACATAGATATTATTACACCCATCGTAGACGGGAGTGAGGTTATGTATAATAATAATGTAGTAATTATATAGATATGCATTGAATAGGTACTATAGATGCTCACGGTTTTGAGTAGCATTACTTTCTACAATCTCGGGTACATTTATCACAGAAATCTCCACTTGTTCATCGGGAACGTTGATGTTGTCTGTAACAAGGCATTAAAAGCATATTATAATTGTTTGTATTTCAATAATTATGAAATGTAGTACATTCCCGATACTAAAATACGAAGTTCAGTACATTACAAGTTTTTATGTTTAAAAACAACCATATAACTCACCTTGAGTTCCTTGACTTTCTTGTATGACATCTGAGTCATAAATGCTATGCATTCTGTCAGTGCTCAAAGAAATCATGGCTTTTACTTGCTCCTCGACGTTGTCTACCGGAGGCGCCGTGTTGCGGCCACCTCCGGTGCGGTAGAGTTCCGAGCGTATCGCAGCGGACTTTTACCGAACAGTTCTTTTGCAACCCTCATATTTTACTTTGAGCGTCTTTGTCGTTCGGAATGTCCCTCCAGATCGAGCATTAAATTCATATTGAATGTCCCACGCAGCTTCTTTCTGTTTTCAAGTAGAACCATCGCTTTGTTTATTTTCCAGTACACATTTATGTTTTTGGATCAGAGACACCAAAATGTCTCTCTCGTCGGAGAAAAGTTTGCGCTCCTATCTCTTTTAGATTTTTCCATGTCGACGAGGACAAATAATTAATGAAAACAACAATAAAACGAATACAAAATACACGCTCACAAGTCGCTAATGATAGCTAAATCGCCAATGATGACGTCTGTCGAGTAACGTTGACGTATTATATTGAACGAATGTAATGTACGGTTTGTGTCAAGTAACGTTAATTGACAAGTTGTAACTAATCAACACTTTACTTGAAGGTGGTGAAAGAGGCCCTAAGTGAAGTGAAGAAGTTATTCTCGTTGATATTTTTGCATTTGCACTTGCACATACAAAAACTCTTCTATTGTGTTTTAAAAAATATAATTGAATGAATTGCACACAGCGCTACGTCAATCACGAAAACAGTACTCGAAGCAAAATTCTTTTAATCGTTTTTTATATTGAGCCAAAGGAAAGTGTATATCAATTTCTTCTTGTTTGATAGTCAACAGAATCCTATTTTATTTGTTCGAGTTACGACTAGCTCGATCGATGACAATATGATGTCAATTGCAACAATTTGATGAAATCTTTATTGGAATCGATAGGACGATCAACATAATTTAATCTCTGAAGATGATTTCATGCAAATGCTGGCCGCGGTTCCGGTTTAGATGGCCCATTCGCAAGGTCCAATTTCGGCACACTCTCTCCAACATATCAGCCGGTAAATCACGAATAAATGCTTTAATATTGGCTCCCAGTGCGTCAATCGTTGCTGGTTTATCCTTGTAGACATGAGCCTTAACATGGCCCAACAAGAAATAGTCCAAAGGCGTCAGATCACACGATCTAGGCGGCCAATTGGCGGGCCCAAAACATGAGATAAACTGTTCACCGAAGGCGGCTCTTAATTGGGCCATTTTTTGCGTGCCGTGTGGCATGTGGCACCGTCTTTTTGAAACCACATGTCAGGCATGTCAAATTCTTCCATTTTGGGCAATAAAATCGTCAATTATCACACGGTAGCACTCGCCATTCACAGTAACGTTTTGGCCATCGTCGTCTTTGAAAAAGTACGGCCCAATGATGCCACACCAAACAGTACATTTTTAGGAATTAAGTGGTAGCTCTTGCAATGTTTCTGGCTGGTCTTCACCCCAGATGCGGTAATTATGCTTATTCACATTCAAGCAGAAATGAGCTCCCGCGGCGACGATAAATTGTGTTTAGTGACGAATCGTCGCTGAACACAATTTTTTAATAAAATAGTGGATCTTGTGGACGTTGTGGGAGGTCGTGTGACTTCAATTCTTGCACCAGCTGTATCTTGTAAGGTTTTACAACCAAATCCTTTCGCAAAATTTTGGAGTAACAGAGGCCCAGTTGCTGCAAACGGCGGCGAATCGACATTTCACGGTCATCATAAGTGTTACTGTACAAATTATGGCAAATAAACATTTATTATTTATTATTATTATCACTAACACTGGCGGATGCAGCCGCAATATTTTCTTCGGTCCTCACTCTACGTATGCGTGTTCGTGATTTAATGTTCAATAATGTAAACTGGGTTCGAAATTTAGTCACAAGGTCCGAAAAGCTACCTCAGTAGGCCGGCCAAACTGCCCATAAATTAGAAGAAGTGCACGATGCACTCTCATAACCGAGCATGCATTTTTATAGTAAAATTCAATAATTTACAAGCGTTGTTTGTTCTTAAATTGATTCATGGTTAAATTATAGACTAAACTAAACAAGTTTGACAATGACACAAGACACGATTCACGCATGATCTGTCAAAAACAGTGTTGCCAAAAAGATATCAGCAAAAAATCACCCGTTATTTGAGTAGAATTTGGCCAGAGTTCTTTTAGACTAGTCTACACCTTCTAAATGTTTCATGAACGCTGGCACACCTTTATTATTATAGAATACAGAAAAATCAAATAAAAAAAATTACATTTGATTCACCATTTGCGATGTACGCGAATCTTCCAAGACTATGCGTATGGGCTCATTAAGCCTTGCCCCTAAGGCCTCTATAGCAGCGGTTAGCCTGTTTGTGGCTTGTGCACTAACATTTTCAATCGATGCTAGGGTTTCTGTACCACTCCTCAAAGCCGTGTTATGGTCATCAATTTCTAAAAAAATACCATAATAGTATATTATATAGTATATAAGCTGGTACAAAATGCACATAGTCTAGATATTGTATATTAGTAGTAGTTAGTTACTTATATGTAGTTACTTACCAAAATTGTTGACGTCGCCGTGGAGCACTGTTGGGGCTGCTGCACAGTCTGAGAGGCTGCAGGCTCAGTCTGCTGGCCTTCAGTAAACTGCAAACTAGGCTCTCTTGGGGCTAAGTAGCTTTGGACTGCAGGTTCACACTCTCTCAGAGAACTTTCTAATGGATCTAAAAATCGCTGCTCTTCAACCTCCGTTGGTACAAATCTGAAATAAAAGTAAAAAGCATGTTAAAAAGTACATTATTTTTAATGTAATATTAAAATATTAAGTATTTTAAGATAATTAAATCATAAAAAGGGATGAAATCTACCCAGGACTGTCTTCCAAGTTCTGTAAAACTTCATAGGTCCTGTGGAAAATATAAGTAATTTATTTGCCAAGTATTTATCTATATAGAATGAAAAAAGTATTTATTTTGTTCTCATCCTCCCTATAAATAGAAATGAAATCTGTTGCCCTTCGTCGAACAAGTTTGGAATCCACACACACTGGAAGTTATTAGCACATTGAGTTGAGCATAAGCATTTAAAAATGTAGTCGTCATCATCATCATTAACAGCCGGAAGATGTACACTGCTGAACATAGACCCCCCTTAAAATGTAATAGTTTCATAAATATTATAAACAAACTTTATTCATAACCAACAAAAACTCTTTAAAATTATAGTATAGATACAGATTAAGCCAAACATAGTAAAATGCATTATACATAGTACACCATTTAGCATAGATGAGGAAGAAAAGAAAAGCCATACAACTCACACAACATTCACGCCATCATGATATGAAGCAGTAGCACTAACGCCTTAATTTTGAATTGGCTGTTAAAATGAAAAAATAAAACGAACAGTGCAATGAACAAAACAGAAGTGTAAGTGCATGCATGGTTAAATTTTACAATTGCCTCTGCCCATAGACACAATAGAAATAATAAGTATCCAAAGATTACACAATGGTTTTATGAAAGGAAGGAAACTTACAATAAATGGGTTATGCCTAACTCCTGGTAGAGGTTCGCCTATATCACGCCCCAAAATAGTGTAAAGCCTCACTTGAAGGGGCGTTAAGTTTATTTCAGGTCTTGATCCTCCTCCTTATAAAAGTAAAATGTACTATAAAGAAGGAGTAAATTATTGACGAAATGATAAAAAATACCTGCAAATACTTGCCTGTAGCACTCCTTTCACTTTCATCTTTTTTTTATTTTTATTAAAAGGGGATGTTTATACTCATTGTAGAACTAGAAATAAGATATTAAATTTATGAAATTATACATGAACTTCAACATAAACAAGTAACTAATGCCATTGTTGAATGAAAACATACAATATATGGACGTAGTTATGCTACAACGTTCCAATCCACACGCAGGTCGAACTGAGTAAATCGCATTTTTGTAATTTTGTGGTACGCTTTTTTTTTGGTACCGAGTACAACTAAGTTGTATGTATCACTTCAACTTAATAAATAAACATTATTTTATTACATACTTTTCATTAAAATTTGTTAATATTTCTCATACAAATTATGAAAAAAATGCACTTGGAACGTTTTTGAAAAAAGGCTTTTTGTATGGAAGTATATTTTAACTTAATTTGCAAAAACGATCCAATATCTGAAAATTGGTATATTTTGGTAGTTAATATATATCTTTTCTAAAACATAAGTATAACAATGAAACAACATTATTAAAAAAATATTTATTAAGTAATAGTTGTATCAAAGCATGGAAAATCATCACAATTTATTCATCGTCCAGATCGAAATCCAGCTCCTTACCAAATCCATCGACGTCGTCAATGGCGTCATTAGACGCTTTCAATGTTTTATAAAAACTAAGGCAATCTGCTGGTATAAACTTGTAAACTGATCGTAAATCAGCCAATTTAGCTGGAGCAATGGGTTTCCCGTTAGGCCATAACTGTTTCAGATCAGATCTATGTATAGTCGAAATCTCTCCTTTTGTCATTTTTTTAATGTTAAGTTCGTTATAGTCATCATCAAGGGACGTTTTCATATAAATAGAATATAATCTAGCTTTTTCGATCTTTATTTCCTTTGTCAGCAGCCAGTTTATTTTACTTTTATCTGTAAATTTCTTACGATTTACAATATTTTTCTCAATTTCTTCAGTGCCATAAAAGTCATTTTTGTGCATTTTATATACTTGAAATGGTTTCTTTTTTCTAGCATTTTTCATTATATCTATATATTCATCAGCTGTATAAACACGTTGATGCTGTTTAAGCGCAGTTTCAATTTTTGAAAAATCGGTATCGTTAGGTAAAAAACTATGCCCTAACTCAAGATACCGAAAAGTTATCGTTTTTAATGTAGAATGGGAGTCTAAAATCACCTTCAACATTAAAACAATTTTTATGTTTCGGTTCTGTCCACCGCAACAATCACTCCATAGTACGAGATGTTCTATAGTAGGAGGTAGTTTGTTTTCAATATATTTGACAAGGCATGATCCTACTTCCTGAGCGCCTCTTCCGGCTTCACCCTCCACCCAAACATAACAGTGCCCTACATCATCTGATGCTGAATGTATACCGCTATTATATAGCCAAAGCTGACGTTTATAAAAAATTACGTTTGTCGGTATACAAGGCAGAGGCAAAGTTTTTTCGAGATCAAATGACAAGCATTCTATCTTTGGGGTGTTTCGTGCAGTTTCAAAGTCGCTTTTCATCTGTTCCCTCATTTTTTGTGCCTTCTCTAAGTGTAACGCTTTCTCAGCCTCTACTTTTGTTTTTTCTGATCCACTAGTGTTTTGTAATTGCACCGCAAACAGATCGCACTTATTACGCGTGTCTTTTTT